ACGCTCTGGTTGCATCTCCACAGGATGCAGAGATCTCTGCCTTTGAGTTGCAGACAATCCTGAGAAGAGTTCTGGCAAAGCGTAAGTACCCACCCCTCGCACATCCCTCATCCTGCTTCTCCTGCAACGTGAGGGGACACGGTGACCCTTCCCCTTCCCCGGTTCAGCGGCTGTGGCTGAACCGTCACCCCCACTCCTACTTAAACGCCACCATCACCACCAAGGAACTGAATGAAGGAGGTTCTCCCCGATGTGATAAAAAAGGGCGAAGGTTTCTGGAGTCTAGAGGTCAAAGATCATATCCAGGTTTCCACGACTTACTAGCTCTGTGATCTAAACCGAGTTAGATAATCTCCCTGACTCTTGTTTCCTTATCTTCAAAATAGGCATATTATTACTTAACCTCTTCAGAGTGGTTGAATGTCTTAAGTGAGATGACGTGTAGGAATTGCCTAGCACAAAGCCTGGGCTCCGTATATACGGTGACTCTTATGATGATTAATTGCTCAGAAAAAGCGTGATGGGAGCCAGAAAGCATCCCCATCCCTGGATTCCCGGCTATATTTAGTGGGGAACCACTGACAGAGTGACGACAGCTTCATTGATGAGCCAGAATGGAAAAATAAGTGGTCCATCTTCCACTCCAGCTAAGGGGATGGCATTAGAAAGGCTCATCTCCCAAGTGTGTGTTTAAGGGAGCCTGGTCGAGCCAGTTCTTGATGGGAGAGATGTCACTTCAGTTGAGCCAGTGGGCCAGGCAAGTGGCTTCAAGGCTCCAGAAATGACTGCTCTCAGCCCAGGCTGATGGGCATCTATAAAGAACGGACAGAACTGGGTGGAGACTTTAGAAGGAGCTGGAGAGCCATGGTCCTCACGCACCTTTTCAGGTTAAACTTGTTTCTTAAGCAAAAAATATCAAAAGATGGATCGTCCACCTCCCCAGTGTTGATCACCGCTGCAGGGGGTGGGGAGAAAGCACCCCCACACACTGCTATTCTCCCCCTCAAGTTATCACCAGAGCTGTGCTGCTTTGATAAGACAGCAGTCCACTGAGCAGGGGTCTGTATGGTATCAGTTCTCAGCCCAGATCCGAAACCAGAGCGTATGTCGTCAGGTCTGAGCGTCAGCCTGGGGATCGTCTCCAGAAGTCCCGTGGACTTCACTCTGGCCCAGGCCCAAGAGAGAAAAATCCTCCTCTTGAAGCCAAAGGAGGATCCAGGCCAGTGGGGTCTTCCGTCACAGTGAACGTGAACGACACGCATGTGGTCCCTCACAGGAACCACGTGTGACCGATCCATGCCCGGTGGCCTCCAAACAAACGGCTGCATTTGAGCTTCTTTGCAGAGCTGCAGCCAGGGGGTCCAGCGGCCAGGGTAGGGCTTCCCCACGGAGGACCCTGGTCCTTGGCGCCCCTCCTCCAGTCTGGGGGTGATGAGAAGATGGTGTTTACCCTTGAGGCCACCAGGCACGAGTGAGGTCACAGGCTGTTAAGCTGTGTGGTTGTCATGAACCCAGGGACACTGAGCCCCATTGTTTCTGCACAGATGCGGGGAGCGGGAGGGGAGGGACCGGGCCATGCTTGGATTGAGCTGCTACTTGTTGAAGGGTACCCCCGAGCTCGGTACCCTTCCCTGCTCCACAGCCGGTGACGACTCCTGCCCGAGGGCCCCAGGCACAGCCCACACCCACACCCGAGAAGGGGTCAGAGCCCAGAACAGCAGCTTTGAGACAGGTTACGTCCTAACCTTTCACAAGGACATGATGAAAAGGGTGGGCTCCCCTGAAGGCTGTGGGAACAGACTCACATCTGTGATAAGGCTCTCATGCCACCTGTCGACCACCAGCTAGATGGGACTCAACGAGTGAGTGACTCACCTAGGAGAGCACAGGCTGCGGACAGGCTCTGGCCCTCTGGCTAACCCAGCTGGGGACACAGAGGCCCCCTAAATGCCTGCAGACGGGCAGTTAAGTAAACCTCTTCCTCTCTCAGGGCCCTGCCTAGAATGAACACGCAGGGCCCCCGCTGTCTCCACAGGTGACTTTGCATCTTATGAACACTTCAAGGCCCAGACTCTTACCATTCTCTTATTTACTTAAAAAGCACTTATTATAACCCCGTATGCCCATGGCCAATATACAGAGAAGTCAGGCAAATGTAACACAGCCTCTGCACTGTCCCAGTATGGTGGCCACCTGCCTCATGTGGCTATTTAAAACAATTTAAGTGGCTCCCATATCGGAGGGTGCAGATACGGAATATTCTGCGATCGTAGAAGGTTGTATTGGACAGTACTGCTCTAGAAGATATTCCTGTCACACTTATTTTTGTCTCCTAGGCCAAGATATCAAGTCAGACGGCTTCAGCATAGAGACCTGCAAAATCATGGTTGACATGCTCGACGTATCCTTTAATGGGTCCCGCAGGACACAGGCTGGGAGAGTTTGAAACTTCACTCCAGGAAGATACAAACACAGGCCTCCTCCCCTTCACAGCGGCCAGCTGTCCCTGCCGGCTGAGGCATAGGACTGTTGTCAGCGCTGACCTCCCTTGGTAGGGAAATTCAGCTGAGGGAATGTGAGATGCCACAGGCTGAGGGGTTCCTGCAGGAAATTCCCGACAGCATGCCCGCTGTTCTCTGCCCAGGGCAGCTTGGATGTGTTACCTCTAGGGAAATAGTCCCTAAACCATGATACTCCTTTCTTTTTCTTTTTTTAATTAATTTATTTATTTTTGGCTGCGTTGGGTCTTCATTGCTGCGCGCGGGCTTTCTCTAGTTGCAACGAGCAGGGGCTATACTCTTCGTTGCGGTGCGCGGGCTTCTCATTGCGGTGGTTCCTCTGGGCTGTAGGCGCGCGGGCTTCAGTAGTTGTGGCACGTGGGCTCAGTAGTTGTGGCTCGCGGGCTCTAGGCGCACAGGCTCGGTAGTTGTGGTGCACGGGCTTAGTTGCTCCGCGGCATGTGGGATCTTCCCGGACCGGGGTTCGAACCCGTGTCCCCTGCATCGGCAGACGGATTCTTAACCACTGTGCCACCAGAGAAGTCCCTACCATGATACTTCTGATGTGAATGCTTTCCCCGGTCATGATTTTCTTCCTAATTCATAGATAGGGGCCCACCCTCCAAGAGCAGTCTCCTTCCTCGTTGCTCTGGCTCCTTCCCAGGCCACCACCCGGCCCTGAGGCCGACTCATCATCCACCTGCTGTCCCTGCTGCTTACTGAGAGGTGCTGGGCAAGGATGGCCTGGATGGCTTAAGCTTCTATGAAGTTTCATCTGGTGGGCTCATGGCACCTGCTGTGTAGCTCCCCTCATAAAAGGCCTCTTAGAAATGATACTCCCTAAATGGGCAAGGGCGCAGCCATTAGAAGCCATCTGAAGCCTCTGCATATCCTCCAACGGCCCCTTCTTAGCAGGAACTGGGGCCAGCTGCCTAGCACCCCCAGACCCATCAGCACACAGAGTCGGGGGACCCTCCGGTCTCTATTGGGCCCTTCCACCAACCCTCAGGTGGAGGTCTAGCCAGTGTGACGAGCAGGAAGAGGGTCCTGCAAGAGCTCCTCGTGATTGAGCTGTGGTTACCACTCTCCAGGGGAGAGGACAAACCAGGTGCCACGGCCCACGTGAACCCAGACTCTGGGAGCTTTCCTTAACTGCAGGCAGTCGGATGGAAGTGGCAAGCTGGGTCTGAAGGAGTTCTACGTTCTGTGGACCAAGATTCAGAAATACCAAGTGAGAGCCCAGGAGGGCCGGGTGGCAGGGGCGGTGGATCTGTGTGGGCAAGGCGCCACGCACGTACTTTTGGACGCAGCAGCTCTTTAGGACGGTGGAGGAGCATCTCCAAGCAGAGGGGATTGTACTCATAACGGAGCTCAGAATGGATGAAGACAGGGCTGGGCAAATGCAAACAGGAAAAACAAAAGCTTTGCAAGTTACGTGGTTTACTCCCTGCCTTATTGACCGGAAACGGGGTCATCTAAAAGCCACCATCAAGTGTCCTGAAAAGGCCATGTAGCCCCTTGTAGTTTGGGTTTTTGACAGCTAAAGTACAAAAATTACAGAAGATAATAACAGGGGCTCATGTAGTTGGCTAGGTGATTTGATGGGCATATATGTAAACTAGCTCATGGAGAGAGGCAAAATACTCTTTAAGGCAGAAACACGGGTGATGCTTCCAAGGCCAAACTAGAGGCATGGAGCTGGAAGAACGTCAGCCCCACTTAGCACACGGCACAGAGACGTAACTTGCCACCTTTTGGGTCATGGTTTTCTAACTATTTTGCATGTTGCAGAAAATTTACCGGGAAATCGACGTGGACAGGTCCGGAACCATGAACTCCTATGAGATGCGGAAAGCATTAGAAGAAGCAGGTAACACTTCCGAACTGTATTTTCTTTCTTTTATCTGTAGAATATGTGAAAACTTCTATACGATACAAAGTTTGGTAAGCTACGAAATAGAGTAGTGCCGGTTCAGTACAAACACATCCTTTTCATTTGCCTTTTAAAGACTAATTGGTAAAATGAAATGGAGTCCAGGACGCTGTGCCCTCTAAGCCGTCTGGAATCTCAGTTTCCCTCCAAGGGCCCCAGCGGGTCGCAGGCAAAGCCAGTTTTCAGCAGACCCACACACCCTGCCCTCGTCCGTTCAGGTGCAGGGCTGGTCAGGCAGAAGTGGGATGTCCAGCTCCACCCTTGGGTGAGTCCTTAGCAGCACGTGATGTTGGTAAAAGGGACACCAGCTGTGGGAGACCAGCAGAGTGGGAGACTGGTGTGCTTAGGGGACAAATAGTATGAGGTTGTCCATTCGTTGGGATGTAATGCTGCAGCAGAGACCCCAAATAAGTGGTTTAAACAAGATACACCTTCCTCTCACATAACGATTCAAGCTCAAGCCGTCCAAGGCCAGATGGTGTCTCCTGCTGTCAGGGACCCAGGCTCCTTCTCTCATACTGTGTCACCAGCCCTTAGATCGTCACCCGTATCTGCAGGACGGGGACGGCTTGTCACCACAGCCACGTTCTAGCAATGGGCTGACAGAAGGAGAGAAAGAGGGGCTCCTTGCCTTTAAGGGCACATGTCACTCTGTACACAAATCCCAGTGCCAGGACTTAGTCACAAGGCTTCAGAGGGCTGCCAGGGAAGCTGGGAAATGCAGCCTTGATTCTAGGCAGCCATGGCCTGTTAAAAATTCTACAACTATGGAAAAAGGGAGAATTAATATTAGTTTAGCATGAACAGTTTCTGCCACATACATCCAGGAAGAATCTAGTCTCCAAGGCAATTCAGAGTGAGACAAACAGAAGAGGAGATAGGATCGATAGCATGAAATAGCCTGACCATGAATGTAGGAACAGGCAAGGAAAGTCTTACATGTTAGTAAGGAGACGGGACTTCCTGATGGTCCAGTAGGTAAGACTCCGCGCTCCCAATGCAGGGGGTCTGGGTTCGATCCCTGGTCGGGGAACCAGATCTCACACGCATGCCGCAACTAAGACCCGGCGCAGCCTAAATAAATAATATATAAATATTAAAATGCAAAAAAAAAAAAAAGAAAAGGAGAGAGGCAGGGTGGAGGTGAACAGTGTGGAAACAAGCAATGGCAGAAGGCACTGGCTTTGCAAAATAAAAAGTCTCACAGCAGAGCAGCCAGGGGACCAAAGCAATCCTAACTGTCATCTGCCGGGTCCAGAGCCCATGAACAGAGAGCCCCAGGGTGCAATCGAACACTTGGCAATCGGTCTGCACGTTCATTTAACTGCAGGTTTCAAGATGCCCTGTCAGCTCCACCAAGTCATCGTTGCTCGGTTCGCAGATGAGCAGCTCATCATCGATTTTGACAATTTTGTTAGGTGTTTGGTTCGACTGGAAACACTATTCAGTAAGTGCCCATTTGGGTAAAGGCCCATTTCAGTTCTCTCGGTATGAAAGCAGCCTGCCTTTCCCCACGGGTGAAACCACCTGAGCCAGAGACGTGTCTGTCCAGTTGAAAATGAAAATCCTTCTTTAATTTGGGGACAGAGGGAAGAAATCGTAACTTGTGACATTCAGTGAAATCAGCTGCCAGACTGGGGAAAAGGATAATGTGACCTCTGTTGCAGCTCACTTATATGACATCCTGTTTCTGCCTCCACAGGGATATTTAAGCAGCTGGACCCCGAGGATACTGGTATGATCCAGCTTGACCTTATCTCTGTAAGTCAGCAGCTTCCCAGCCCCTACTCCTAGGGGACGGAGGGGAGAAGGGCTGTTACTTGGGCGACAGAGATCTGTGGCTTTTGGTCTATCAGGGTCAGGCTGTAAATTGTTGTAAGATCCCACAGTGCACCTCTATTGGCAGTCATTTCCCAACTACCCATTGATTCTCGAGTCCAAGAAAACACACCTGGTCCCTCCTCCCAGAAGCTTTGCCTTGAGAATAGCACAAGGTTCAAAGAAGAAGAGGGTGGCTGTGGCTGCAGAATCCCTCTTGGAAAAATGACCTGCTAATTAGCACGCCTGGGAGAAGATGCTTATTATGCCAAGAAACCCTTTGGATGAAATTTAAGTGGGTCTTGGGAAGATCTGTCATTCTTAGATCTACTTATAATACTTTCTGCACAAATTACTTTTCTCTACTTCCTCCACCTTTAAAATAAAATAACAATAGTAGATAAGCTTACCGTATATAATGATTGTGCTCATGTGTCTGGAACCCCAGCAATGGGCACCTCTGAAACGATCACTCGAAATTCAGTTGGTATGCCAATTCCACAGAAAGCAAAGCACAAAATGTTCTCTTGTCATCCGAAGACAGAAAGTTCTCTCACTTCAAAGAAGGAAGCCAGCTGGGGTTACTTTTCATCCTTGCCCGGCTCCAGCTTGCATTTCCTCCGTCCAAGGGGGAACTGAGCTTGGAGCAACACAGGCTACAGAGACTGGGGTTGGGTGGCCAGTGCTGGGTAGGAATGACCAAGTCCCAGGGACCAGAGAGGAGCAGGGTGGTAAGAAGGACGAGGGTGAGGGACTGGCACCTCCTTCCATTGAACTTCAAACTCTGGAGGAAGCCAGCAAGTAAATAGCTCTTTCACTCTGGTATTAATGCATTTTAAAGTAACGTGAGCCAACTGCAAAATACATTTTAGCTGGTTCCAGAGAACACTAACTTGCTTAAAACTCTGTGTAGCTCAGGAAATAACCCTCCCCTGAGACTGCAGTCTAAGGTAGAGGCAATACAATTGGGAGCTAAACATGCCACGTGTGAAGTTTGGGAAACTGCAGCCCCCTTTATCCTTCTGGCTGGAAATCTTATCCCTCCCCGGCTCCCACTATTTTACGCGGCCAGCCTACTCAGGCCATCCTCCCATTTCCTCTGAGAAACATCTTACTCACTGGCTTTCCCTCCTTTCCTAAGCCTCGCCTTTCACAGGTCCCTGGAGTTCCCCACACTCAACTCTCTTTTCGCTGAGGCTGCGACAGAAGACGACCTCTCCTTCAGTTTGCAGTGATTGTTAGCCTTGCCTGCAGGTTGCAGCCCTGGGGAGCTTCGCAAAAGTCCTGATGTCCAGGCCCATCCCAGACTAATGTCATCAGAGTCTGATTTAAAGTTCGCAGATTACTCCCGTAGAGAACCGAGGTTGAAAACCACTAGTTTAAGGGCTATCCGAACTAACCTCTGATGTGACACTGAGGCAGGGATACAGAAATGCTAATTCGTGTTTTCCAAGTGTCACGTTTCATGTGTTTCAGTCAACCCTGTAATACGATTCATGACCACCTAATTCAGATAACAGCTTTTTACGACCCTGTAAAAAGCTAGACTCTAGAAATCAGGTAGAAAAAATGTGAGTTAATACTCTGATATCGTAACCCTTGATCAGCTTTTCTCGTACAACAGTCAATCTTTCAGAATAATCTGTAGGTACTTAGATAGCCTTTTAATTCTAAGAATGCTCACTGAACTGATTTGGTTTTTTTCCTTCCGCACAGTGGCTGTGTTTTTCAGTACTTTGAAGTTATAACTGATCTGCCGGAAGACTTCTCGTGAAAGAAAATCAGCCACGGACTAAGCCTCCACAGAGAAACTTTTTATCTGGATCTTGAAATTATGGGAACATTTACTTAAACTGATGATTAGAGCTGAAAATGATGATACTATCTACTTGAGAAAGCAGAACTTTCAGATATCAAAGTAAAAGATTTGCATATAATCGTACTAAATGCAAGTGAGTCACTTAACCCTTGAAAAACTTAGAGAAAACCTTCAATCTGTACATAGTATACACTTTACTTTTACACACTTTCCTGTTTATAACAATATTAAATCAGGAAAAAAAATGCAGGGAGGTATTTAACAGCTGAGCTTAATTTAACATTCAGTCAAACCTTAAAGGACATAAGGTCCTTGCCGGCAATATTTAAAGCAACTTTGAGTTTAAAAATACAGTTGTGACATGTACCAAACAGCTGTCCAGGGATTACCATTCCCCTTGAGTAAAATGGAAAAATATGATGCATCACGAAGGCATCTGAAGAGGCCAGGTGTGAAGCGCATCTCTCTCATTTGGGTTAAATAAGAGATTTTATATGAAACTCATTGGTTAACAGTGTGCCTGTCTCAAGTCCTCGCGCATCTCTGGTCTTATAAACTGAGTGTTACGACACTGAAGGGACGCTCCTGTTGCTCGGTTGAAGTGATGACCCAAACCGGGGGTACCGTCTGCAAGCCCACGGTGACGGAAGACAGCACAGCTGTTCGCCGCCTGCCTCGAACCTTCCCAGACTTCGCTAGCGTTCATGCATGGATTAGGGGGGACGCCCGTGGAAACCACATGAACGTGTTTCCTGGCTTCACCTTGGGTAAATGCTAGCAACACTGTACAAATACTGCCTTGTTGCCTTATCTTCTTCCAAATGTACTGTTCAATAAAGAGTCACCCAGGCAATCCCACGTGGGTGCCGCTGTTCCTGGAGGGCCCAGCGGTGAGCACACCCAGTTACATCCTGTCCCACTCTAGCCAGGCGCGCTCCCTCCCTCCGTAAATGCCGGTATCGAGAGGGAAGGGCAGCTGGCCTCCATTACAGTGTGGAACTATAGAGCTTTTTAAAAATCCAATTCAGAAGCTTTGATAATTGACCATAAAGTCAGCTCCAATTTCTACTGCTTCTTGGTCTCTTAAGGAGGTACCGGCAAGTTTGTGCTCCACCTGCCACCTGCCTGTCACTTTGGTGGAGGGAACAAGAGAGAGCCAGGAAGACATGCAGCTAAACCGCAGGTCGGCTGCTGGGGATCCTTGAGGAATCGCAGAAGGGAAAGATGTCAGATGACTAGAGACAGGCAAATGGCAGCCTACTATCTCATGAAAAGATAGGAAGATGGATTTCCCAAATTCAACTCGCAGGAGTTTAAGTTTTCCTGCTTGTGGAGCATCTCAGGGCCCAGAGGAAGCGGGAACCAAGAACAGGCAGCACTTCCCCTGGCGGGGTGGGGGTGGGGGGGGTGGGGCGGTGATTTTCTCCATTCAGTAGAACTGGGTTTGGGAGGGCTGGATGCTCCCAGTGACACGGGATTGCTATGGGAGGGGCGGGGCAGAGGGTAGGCTGACCACTGGAAGGGGAGAGGAGGGTGCTAAGGTGGTTGAAATACAGAAGCGGTAGAAATTGGGAGGGGAAGGGCAGGCAGGCTCCCCGCAATCCACCCAGGCCGCTCCAAACCTTTCCCACTGTTCCGGGCGCTCTGCCCCTCCCGGTGCACTTTGACCTCTGCCGCGCTGCCTGAAGTCGGAGTTCACAACTTCCCTTTTAGTCACAGGATAAGAAACGATGCTTAAAAAAAAAAAAAAAGATACGGAATATGCTTATCGTAGCAAATTTAGAAAGGATTTAAAAGAGAAGGGGAGGGCTTCCCTGGTGGCACAGTGGTTGAGAGTCCGCCTGCCGATGCAGGGGACACGGGTTTGTTCCCCGGCCTGGGAGGATCCCACATGCCGCGGAGCGGTTGGGCCCGTGAGCCATGGCCGCTGAGCCTGCACGTCCAGAGCCTGTGCTCTGCAACGGGAGAGGCCACAGCAGTGGGAGGCCCGCGTACAGCACGCAAAAAAAAAAAAAAAAAAAAAAGAGAGAAGGGGAGAGATTTCACGGGGGGGAAAGAACCAGATGATAAAGTGAATCCCCCCCCAGACTTCTGCCCCAAGGAAGCCACCCTAATCTAATCCCCCATTGCGCCCTTCCCTCCAGTCCAAAAGAAAAGCCCTCCCCATCTCTGCTCTGAACTGCAATCTCAGCCTATCAATCAGCTGGCTCCTCTCTTATCTTCACACTCTCTTTCAGGTGCCTTAGGCCTGCCACCTGGTAACACAGACCACCCGCCTCCTCCTGGCCTCCCCGCCTCCCCTCCTTCCTCCAGAGCCAGGCCTCCCCAGCAGCTACGCCCCTGCACCTTTCTGTGACTCCTTTACCTTCTGCAATCTGGCTAATGGCCTGACCACTCTCCTAAAACTGCTTTTGATGATCACCACTTACCTCCCAAAGCCAAAAGCTATGAACACGTATCTGCCATCACCCTCCCCGACTTTGTGCTGCCGTCCCTGCCGTTCCCTCTCCCTCTCAAGACACCCCTGCTCACTGCCTCCCTGGCTGACTCCCGTACTCCCCTGGTTAAACGCCCCCGGTAGCTCCACTGCCTTTAGACTCCAGGCACAGCTAGAGTTTACACCCTACCCTCCTTAGCAGGGCCCATTCTCCAGTTGCTTTATCCCCACTTATTTTTTCAACAATCTAAAAATTCTGCTCCCATAAAAATGTGAGCGCAGCATTGATGGTAACACAAGCAAAAGGCAGCCACGCGTTCAACACAAACGACTGGATGAATGACGTGGTGGAATACTACACAGCCATTAAATACCATGCATGTGATGCAACGCAAAGCATAAAACAGGACAATACAGAATTGCTTAAACAGTATGCTCTCAACTATGTGAAGAGAACATCATAAGCAAGATTAGAAAGAAACAGGCCCGAATGTTAGTTACGGTTGCCTCCATAGTGGTCTTTTCCCCCCCTTGCTTCATAACCTTTTTCTATACTTTTAAGGAGCTTTTTTTTTTTTCCGGCTGTGCCGCGTGGAGTCCTAATCACTGGACTGCCAGGGAACTCCCTATGGGGAGCTTTAATATACAGATATTCTGATAATAAAACAAGCAAGTAAAAAAACCCCAAAGGGAGAATAAAAACAAATGATGCTCGAAGTTTCGGACTAAGGAAATAAAAGTGAGATGATCACGTTTTCCCAATTTTTGCATCTTCCCTTTTCATACATTGGCGCAATTTGTTGCAGGTTTCCAGGTACCTTCACGTATAGTACTTAGTATGGTTTCCCTCGACCCCATCTCAGATTATAACACACAAGACTGAGCGTCCCGGGCAAGGTCACAGGATGGATGAGTAAGTGCACCAGCCCAGGACAAGGATCCATTGTTTTTTTGGCTCCTGTGCTGCTGTAACATGTTTGCCCAAACTTGGTGGCTTGAAGAACACCCACCATCTCCCAGTTCTGTAGGTTAAAGTCCAACACCTCTCTTATTGGGTGACGCATTCTTGCTGGAGACTGGAGGAGGATCTGTTTCCAGGCCCACTCAGGTTGGCAGAATTCAGGTCCATGTCGTTGTAAAACCGCGGTCCCCGTTTCCTTGCTGGCTGTCAGCCAGGGGTTTCCTCAGTTTCCACATTCCCTGGCTCATGACCCCTTCACCTTCAAAGCCAGCAACGGCAGGTCGAATCCCTTCACTTCAAATCTCGCTGACCTCCCCTTCGGCCTCACCTCTCCTGCTTTGAAGGGCTCAAGTTGGGCCCACTTGGGATGGGCTCAGGATAATCCCCCTATGGTCAGGTCAGTTGATTAGTAAACTTAATTTAAATCTGAAAAATCCTTCACAGCAGTACCTGGATTAGTGCTTGTTTAAATAACCAGGTGTCTCAGTCTGCTCAAGCTGCTGTAACAAAATACCACAGGCTGTGTGGCTTAAATAACATTCTCGTGATTCTGGAGGCTGGGAAGTCCAGGATCAAGGTGTCAGCAGATTCAGTGTCTGGTGAGAATGGCAGCCTTCTTGGGGTATCCTCACACAGTGCACTAGACTCTTCCTCTTATGAGAACGCTAACCTCATCATGCAGACCCACCCTCAGGACCTCACCTAAACCTAATCACCTCCCAAGGGCCCCACCTCCAAATACTATCACACTGGGGGTTAGGGCTCCAACATGAATTTTAGGGGGACACAAACATTCAGTCCATAGCACCACAGGACAGGAATATGAGGGGCTGGAAGGGCACCTTTAGAATTCTGTCTACCACACAGGTCTTCTGATCTTTCATCCATGTTGTCATTACTTCTGCATTACTCTGAAAGGCATCATATGTTCTGTCATTCATCTATCTTCCTTTTTTGCTAGAAGTTAGCTACTCATAAAAATGTATAAGGAAAAGTGACCATTGGTTTTTTTCACCCGTATCTTCTATTAAATGACACAGTTTCACTAAGCAAAATGAGTTCCCCCAAAATTCACAAACTTGGTAACATATTAACAAAACGACGTGCAGACTGCGTCTACATAAGTTTTCATCCCATAAATGTACATAACTCTATGTAGAATCTGAAATAAAATGAAGACACTGAAACAGCCTATCAGAAGCTCTAGGTAAAGGTACAAGTTGCTAGCACCATGGCCTCTAGGATCTTTAAAAAACGTCTTAATTCTATAACAAAGACCGCCACGAAACTCACAAATTGCAAAACTGAGCAAAGAAATGCTTACGCTTAATCACATGGCTGGTAAAAAAAAAATTCTTATTATTTTTTGAGCAGGGTACGATATTCCAATGGCTTAGGAACGTTAAACAAGGCTGTTAACATGACATAAAAAACTAAAGCCGGTAAAAAGCTTAGAGTCAAAAAGTTTAACTTTATTACAATTGTTTTTAAAGTCAGCTATGATCTTGACAAATATCACGGGT